AATTTAACTCACAGTTTCCGAATTATGTTCCTATATTTTATCATATCTGTGCTCTTGAGGTCATTCCCATGTTTACATGCATATCTGTGTGGTGGAAATGCTCTGGAATGGTGTGGTCACTGTGCTTCTCTTTCCAACTCCAAGTTCAGTGATGTCACCTTGGTGCCTTAAATTGACCGTGGTGGGAGAATTTACACCACCGAAATTGGAAATCAGTAAACACTACAGCCAGAGCTGTCCCAGCATTCCCAGGATCTTGTTTCCAGGGTTTCTTTATTCAGAACATTCTGGCCTCCTCCAAATGCCCCCCACCATTTCTCTAATGAGATCTCTCCCAGGCTTCTATTTTCCCCCTGAGCTGAGCCAAAACATTCCCTCTGGTTTGTAAAGCGTGCTGAGAATCTCAAGTGGAGCTATTTTCTTTCTGTAACTGAGGAGCAGGTCTCACAGCTCATAATTACCCTGTGGTTTTCTAGCCGGCACTTTACCTGGGGTGCTTGACAGAGCCTAGAGGCAGGCGCGCACGTGTGTGTGTGTGTGTGTGTGTGTGTGTGTGTGTGTGCATGTTGGTGTGCTGGGGATGAGGGGCTGGGGAAGGAGAAGTCAGACCACATGAGGCTTTCCTGAGGTTTCAACTTGAAATCCGCATAGCAACCACAGGCCTAGGGGAAGAGGAGCATAAAACTGAAAGATGGAACCTCCTGGTTATTAGCTTCCCTGCTTGGCTTCCCATGAGTGTCCCCAGGGGACCATGTGCTCCTCAGTAATGAGGCCCCGCGCTGGGTGTGGAAGTCTCCGATCTCCAGCATCCAGCCTCCCAAGGCAGAGCTCCAAGTCGGGGAGCTCGGCACCTCATGTGAGTTTCTGAGCGGTAAAGGGCTGGGTGGTCATGCTGCATCATGGAGACAGGACGCATCTGGAAACAGGAAAACCTGTTGGTGGATGGTGAATCGGGTGTGTGGGCCTTGCTTGGTTCTCCTGGGGTTTGACCATGGCTTCTGGGCTCTAGGTCCTGGGCATATAGTGAGTCCATTCACTGAGCAAATCACCCAGCCCCAAATGTTCCTCCCTCCAGGATGCTTCCCTGACTTTTTCCACGAAGGAGCCATTCCCTCTTAGCTCCAAGCCAGTGTTGGGATACTCAGGGATTTCCGGCCAGTGATTCATAGGACAAAAGTTTCCCTCAGCTGGGAATTTGTGTTCTTGCTCTGTGCTCTGCGCCTGCGGGAACCTTCCACAAGCAGCGCCCCTGCAAGGAAGAAACTGTCCACGACTTGGATGGAGCAGCCACCTGGCACCCAGTAGGTACTCAGTAAGGGTCTGTGACTGAGTCACAAGACACTGAGTTAAGAGAAAGAGTTTGAGTGGTGTGAGAGCAGACCTTTAGGAGGGAGGCGTTGGGAAGAAGCTCAAATCTCTCTCTCTCTCTCTCTCTCTCTCTCTCTCTCTCTCTCTCTCTCTCTCCTTTCTCCTCGGAAAGCCTCTGGCAGAAGCTGCACCAGCTCCCCCTGGACGGCCTCTGCCTCTGAGGGCCACCCCCTTTCTCTCAATTGCCCCTGCATCCCCAAGGGTTGGAATGGGCAAGGACAACAACTTCCTGTTCTGGCTGATCTCTGAACTGCACTGTTTGTGTGGCTTCTGAGTGACACCATCACCTGTGTACCCAATGCCCTGAATTAAACTTTTGAAATACTTAGAGTGATTTTTGTTTTCCTGACTGGTATACTCCCAGCCTTATACTTTCCCTACCCCCCAAGCAAGGTGACCAAGTAGGGTCTATTTTCTTAGCCCAGCAAACGGCAGGTGACTGGAAGAATGTTATTGGAGATGCAGTTATGGAAACCCAGGGCTGGCTGCCTGGCGGAGCTCTCCCTCCAAAGGCCCCAGTCTCTGCTTTCTTCTGAGGATCCCCCACCCCGGCCCCTGCCTCTGCACCTTTAAAGGAAAGCAGGCGGACGTCTCAGCTGGGCTCCCTCCAGCAGTTGAAATGGGCGACCTGGTGGCTTTGCTTGGGATCTGCTCTATGTAAGCTCTGGGTTGGGGAACAGAAATAACAAAGGAGGAAAGAAAACCCCTCCAGAAACACAAACCCCAAGGTCTCTTCTTCCTTCCAGGGCTGTGATTTCATTTTTATTCACATCTGTCCTGTCTCAGACTCCTTCCTGGCCATTCCAAACACCTGGAGCTGGGCATCATAGCTGCAATCCCCCCTTCTGGTCCCCCCAATCCCCCAAAAAAGTGGGTGCTGTGGGGAAAAGAGGCAGAGAAGACTAAGAGCTGAGGAGTACTGGCATCGCGCAGGAGTGCACATTTTTGTGGAGCGAGCCCCATGCCAAACGGCACTGGAAAGCACTTTCAACTCGTGTGCCTGAAGAGAAAAATAATTAAACTCTTCTGTCTGGGATCACCTTGCTTCCCACATCCCCTCACTTAGGATGTTTCGTTCCCACTGAAGCATGTGATTGGAAAACAAAGGTAAATGAGAGCAATTTATTCCCGGATCATTTTTTTTTTCCCCTCCAGCAGGATTAAAGCTGCCTCAGCCATAAAGAGTTTACAAACTCTGAAGAAAGATAATAACTTCCCTTCTCACAGCCCGGTCATGGGGAGGTAATGCATGTTTCCAATCATCTGAGAATGTGACTCAAATGGTAAGTTTTATTTCACTTTAATCCGCCTGCGAGTTCACGTTCAAGGTAAGAGGGCTCACAGCCCTGCAAGGCTAACAGTTTATTAACTGCAGCATCACCCAGGTGGAGGAGGAGCTGGGCTGGTTTACTCTTGCCCTGAAGCCTGGCACCGGTGATGGGGGCCTGGCGTGGTGCTGAGCGTCCGGAGCACGGGAATGCAAGCAGAGCTGCCACAGAGAAGAGAAGCTCCAGGGTCCTGTGTGGCTCTTTGGGAACCAGCTAACCTGACGGCAACATCAGCACCACCAGATGCCATGGTCGGGGGGCCATGGAGGAAGAGGGCATAGAGCAGAGCTGGAGAACAGAGCGCACACAGTAGATACTGTGGCAGGCAGGTCTCCCAACCTGCAGCGCAGGGTGGGGGAGGGGGAGGTGGTGCAGGAGGTGACAACTTCCACAGGGACTGGGACTTACTTGCTTCTGCACATCTCTCTGCTGCCTGCAGCCTGGCTGCTCAGTGGGCTGCTGTAGAGAAACTTAGTTTGTGGTTCCCTGTTGCTCTATGACTTAGTCACAAGGAGACGCTGAGCCAGCCCCTGGATTACATCTTGCTTTATACATGTATGAGGGGACCATCCATTTGAGGGGAAGGGGAAATGTTTGCCTACTGTGGGACTTTAAGGGCCCCGCTCTCTACATGTAATCCTGGCCAGCACTGCCTCCTCCAGTCCTGTCTTAAAAAAAAAAAAAAAAATGCAGATGCCTCCAGCAAGGCAGCATCTTAGCTTCCTAGCCACATGGAATCTCTTAAAGAGACAGCTCTGGTCTGTTGGGTGGAGTGTTGGTACAGGGAGGATGTTCCTGGTGTGTGTTTGGGGGGGGCAGGGGGTTGCATGGGTTGGCCTCTATTGCACTGGGTAGAGGTGAGGGCTGGGGGAGACTTGGTGAGCCACAGGCCAAGGCCCAGTCCAGCCATCCTGACTGCTTCTGCTCGCAGCCCTCCCAGGTCTCCCAGAGGTGCCTGTAGCCTCTGTGCCTCTGTTTGAGGCAGGAAGTGCTGGCTGACAGCTCTCTTGGTGACATGGGGCCCTGTCAGATCCGTCAACCTTCCTCAGGCGTCACTGCACAGAAGACCAAACATGCAGAGTTCTGAGTGTGTTTGGGCTGCAGAGACTCAAGAATGAGGCATAAGCACCAGCCTCGTTCAGAGCCAGCCTGAGAGCCTGGGCTGCCGCCCTGAGGCCCAGTGCAAGTGGGCCTCTACTGCCTGCCTGCGGCTTCTCGCTTTTTTTTGCCCCAGCTGTCTAACCTGCTTCTTGTCCTACCCTCCCTCACCTGCCTTGGGAAACCTGGTAGTTGCCTTAGCACAGCCAAGGTGACTGCTTCCCTGACCACTATGCCTATCTGTCTATCTATCCTCCGCCCAGCTCCAAGGTGGCCACTGGGAACATAACAGTGAGCAATCCGTGGTCCTATCTGCATGGAGTGTGAAGTCTCACAAGAAACAGACAGAAACTGTGGGCGCAGTGTGCCAATGTCCCACATGGGACTGCCCATGCTCAGCCGTGGCCTTTGCTCGGCAAACTGTGGCTCTCGAGCCACAGGGGCTCTTTGGTCCCTTGAGTGTGGCTCTTCCACAAAATACCACAGCCTGGGCGAGTCTATTTTGAGGAAGTGGCGTTAGAAGAAGTTTAAGTTTTCAAAATTTGGCTCTCAAAAGAAATGTCAATCGTTGTACTGTTGATCTTTGGCTCTGTTGACTAATGAGTTGGGTGACTACTGCTCTAGGCCATGGCCAACACGGTGCTCTCCGGTGCATCTGCCATCACACCCTCACGGCGCTTCCTGCCTTTCGTGTCCCCCTTGACACGAGGCTCGAGGGGATGCAGGGCCTCGCTCACAGACACTGCTGCTCTGCTCATCTGTTCACTGAGAAAACTATTCCTCCCACGGCCTGCCTGGCCCCACTGGCCCCTTATTTGAAAAGACCTGCCCTGAGTGAAATCACTGCTGGGATGAATTCTAACACAACCCCCGCCACACTCTCCTGAGCCCAGTTCTCAGGGAAGCCACCTTTTGCTGAAGACCTGTGCCCTCTGGTCAGCCGAGGCTTCGATCCAGAAATAACTGAGAGCCAGGGAGTGTGAGGAGGAGGAGGGAGTCAGGGACAAGGAAGCTCAGGCAGGCCCAGGCCCGGCTTCCCACGCCCAGGGAGCCCTGAGCTCTGCTTGCATTCTTTTCAGAAACCTGAGCCCCCACCTTTCCAATTTCCGCTTACACCTCTTCTTCAGTCCCCGCCCTGCCTCTGCGTGACAGCGGGGCATGCATGCAGCCTATCTGGGGACCCAGGAATCCTATTGGATATGCCAGTTTAATGAAATACTTGCAGTTTATTAAACACAGGCTTCCCTAAGCCCCCAGGGCCTGTGGGTATTTGAAAGCCGAAGGTAACCCCCAGCTACCACAGATGTAATTGTTACATGTGTCCATGCATTCCTGCAGCAACCTCAAACTCCCGCTCTTAAGCGGCACACAAAATTAGCAACATAAAGTAACTCCTAGTCAGACAAGACCGTGAAATGTGGGGAAACTCTGCTGCGAGGGGCTGCCCTGGCCCCTTGGGGCCTCTAAAAGGATATGAAGTTCCCATTGCTTTGAAGAATTGGGAGACTGCGTCCCCCCCTCCCCGCCCCAGGCTGTTCATGTTTGCAGAATTGGTTCATTATTAGCCAGGCAGGCCTCGCTTGTCAACGTCACATGATGTAGTTAGGATATTTCAAGTCCTGTTTCAGCCATGGAGTGCTTCGGGTGGCCGTGGGGCTAGCAGGGCGCGCCACTTCCGCTGTCCGCAGACTCCCTCTGGAGCTGTATTTCTGTTCCTCCTCCAGTGGGTGGCTGGGGGGAGCTGTCCACAGCCTGGGAGGGGCCATGGGGAAAGCCAACGTGGCCTGGAACCGGTTGCTCTGAACCCGGGGCAGGTGGCTCCTCGGGGATGTCTTCCCATTCATCAGTCTCCTCGGCCTGGGGCCTGCAAATCAGGGGTGAGGGGCTGACGTGGAAGCAGCAGACGAAGGCCTCCAGGGAGGTGCCTGCCTCTACGTGGACCACCATCTGGATGCCCGCGAAGACGACTCTGTTGACGGTGCCCAGGGGGACCTGCTCCAGGAACCTCAGCGTCAGCCCGTTGACCCACACGCAGCCCCTGCGACTCAGGGCCTTGAGGCTGAAGGCCAGCAGAGCGCTGCCCTGCTCCCGGTAGGGCTCCAGGGACAGGTGCTGGCGGGACAGGCGGGGGAGGTGCAGCTGGAGGTGGGAGCCCAGGCCCCGCCCCACCAGGAGCGGGCTGGTGTCGTGCTGCAGCCTCTGGGGGACAGTGGCGAAGACGGCAGAGCCCTGGGTGGGGTGGTACAGGCTCATCCGCAGGACGGTGAGGGGTCTTTCCATGGGCGGGAGCCTGGGGAGGAGGGAACACAGACACACTTAAAGCTCCCTGAGCCCAGACACGCTTGCCCACCTCAGGGACCCCCGGACCACCTCCAGCCAAACAGAGCCAAGCACTGGCCGTGGATGCTGTTATTCTGGCCAAGCCAGGAGGGAGCCAATGCCCAGCTTCTTTTCTCTGGCCCCTGGGAGGGGAGCATGCCACCTGCACTCTGAATTTTCATTTTCTTTTCTGTAACATGGGTATGTCTGACCTTGCTCATGCCAGGTATAAGGCATTCTAGGATGCTGGGTAGGGTCCTGGTGACCTGTTGTAGTTGAGGACCGTTTGGCCTGCTACGTGGAAAGGGAAGGACAGACAGACAGAATGCTCCTTTCTCATTTCTGACAGTCACATGACGAGTGCTGGCCGAGCCCTCCTGCTGGGGTTAAGCAGGTGTAAGAGAACAAGCCCTTGCTTTCCCAAGCGCCCAGTGGATGGGAGAGGTAGGAGCTTCTAGAATTAGGCAGATGGAGAGGCACAGAAGAGGGGAACTCTGCCTGCTCTGGGGAAATCAGAAAGGCTGCCTGGGGACCCGAAGGAGGAATAAAAACAGCTAGCACGTTCCCACGGGAAGCCAGGTGCTTATGGGCCTGAGCACCGTGAATATCCCACCCTCACTGTCTGGGGCAGCAGGCAGATCCTGAGGAGGAAGGAAGGTCTCTTGCTCAAGAACTGATAGGGCTCGTGGAGTGCCCCCGGCAGTATCTGCCACCGCGCGGAACGCTCACACGGTCTGTGCCAGCAGCTCTATCTCCGGTGATGTGTCCTTTAGAATCTCATCGGCATACGTGGGGAGACTGCTTACAGCGGTCAGCTTTGCTCCTGCATGGATTTGAGGAATACAAATTCTACCGCAGCCACCAACCCCATGTGGCCTGGGACCTGCCCCACCTTCCACAGAAACCAACCTTGGACAGGGCCGAGGGGATTTGAACAAAGGATTGTACACTTTCCTGGCACCAGGCTTTTGCTTACACAGTTTGTATCCAGATACTGCTCTTTACGGTTCAAATGTGACCTCTTCTAGAACACTCTTTTCCTCTTTCTGCCCTCGGACCCCCATACAGGAAGATTCCCTGCACCTGAGGCACCTGGCCGACCCCCATGTCAGAGTTCTGTGGGTCCTTGTCTGTCCGGCTGGAGCTCCTCTCTGCCGGTCTCTCCGAGGCCTCCCGAGGGCAGGGTGTGGTCTGAGTAGCCACACTGCTCAGGGCAGACAGGGCCTGGCCACAGCAAGTATCTGGAGGCACATTTGCCAAATGTCTAAATGAGGAGAAGTCCACACACATGGAAAGCACATGAAATCAAGGTTAGATAAACCCCAATTGGACTCTGGTTGTTCAAGGCTGTGAGACAGGGAGCCTGTCATGTGTGGTAGAGGCCCAGTGTCCCTCCTGCCTACTGGACGGACCTGGCTAATGGTGAGGATCTTCCAGTCTCTTGAGGGGTCCACCTGGTTAAGCCCCTCAAGACACTCTCTTCTTTCTAACACACATGTTTACCCAAATACATGCCTCCACCCACATCCCCCTCTGGCCCTAACCTGCTGAAAGCCTCCTCCTGAGGGGTGTGCTGTTGTAAGCCGGGTCCAGGACAGCCAGGTTTGGCAGCCAAGTCATCAGACTTACTCAGAACTCAGAGTTCACTTGTAGGAACCAATCCATGGCTCAGGGACCCTAAGAGAATCCCTCAGAAAGAAGACTTCACCACTGCTCCTGTTACGTATTCTCTGAGCATTCCAGAGAGCTGACAGAAAATTTCCAGGACCTTAGATGTTCTGAGGAAGCAGAAGCCCCGCCCAGCCAATGCCACCTCTGGAACACCACAGGAGGAACACACTCTAGGGTGTGTGCCAGATAAGAAACTACAGGGCCCTGCTTCAGCCCCACTAGGCCTCCTCCCCTCACTATGGGTTCAAATCCCTCTGCCTTCCACCTACCTACCTTACCTCCAAGGGCACATCTGGCTCTGGTACTTTTGCTGTGAGCTTTCTGGAGGAAGTGAATTCTGGCCGGGCACTTGTAAGAATGACATTTCCGGCTGCGGTTGGGATGTGTCAGAATGCTCATCAGTTTTTTTGTTTTCTTTCTTTTTATTTTAGGACAGAAAATAGAAGTGTGACTTCCTGTTGCAGAAGTGCAATCCATGGCTGAGAAGTTGAGAAACTCCAGTGTGGGCCCTTGGCTAGATGCCTGTAGAGGATGGGCTCCCTCCTGGGTTTCAGATTGGCCAGTTTCAATGGGACCCTGGGAGCTGTGTCCAGGGTATTGGCCATGTCCCTCTTCTCACCTGTGAGTCAGGTGGGAGAAAGCACTCTGGGCTTGTTAGAAAGAGGAGCCTCTTTGGACAGAGGGTCAGTGGAGGGGGCCCCACTGCATGTGGGAGATTGTGAAGAGAGAACTACGACTGGGCTGGGTTGTCTTGAGGGACCTGTGGGCAATGTGGCAGCCCCCTGAGATCTCAAAAAATGGCCAGGCCTCGGCAAGGGACAAAACAGCCACTCACCCAGGGTGGCCTCTCTTGTAGGAGGTAACTAAGGCCCTCAGAGGGACAGTGTCTGGCCCAAGGTTCCAGAATGAGTTGGCAGCATAATCCTTTCTCTTTCTTTCATCAAACCCTATCCTGAGGTCTCTAGGGGGGCAAGGTATATAGGGGTGTAGTGCAGGCCAGGCCGCCCCCATCAACCAGCAGGTGCCTCCCTGCTCTGCCTCACTGCCCCCAGGCCCACTGCTTACTCATTGCTCATAGGTGACTCTTGAGGTCCCAGAGGTCTCGGCAGGACACACCCCAGGGGACAATTGAATTTAGGTCCCTCCGGGAGCTATTCAGGGATCCTAGCCTGCTTCCCCTATTCTGGTTGCTTAGTAACTAAGAAGGAAAAACAGAGAACTCTGAAAACAGTGACCTGCATCTGCCTGCCCCAGCCAGTGCTACACCAACACCAGGGGTCTCCCAGGGAACCAATTCCCCAGAGATGGGAACTGTATCTGCCCTTGGAGCAAACCAAGCATTAACCAAAAGCTGGAAACAGCACCAATTCCCATTAACAGGGAAATTAATAAACAAATTGTATAACGTGTACATTGAAATGCTACACAGCAATAAATAGATAATGAACTAATGATGCATGAACTATGTAGATGAAGTTCAAACCCATATGCAGCGCAAGAGAAGCCAGGCACAAATGACACAGATGGATGATTCCATTTCTATGAGGCACAAGAACAGGCAACACTAGCCCATGGTAACAGAGGTCAGAATATGGAATTGTATCTGTAGAGACTTACCAACTTGCGTATTGGCTTCTTGGGGCTGTCATCACAACGTCCCACAAGTTGGGTGGCTTAAACAACAGAAATGAATTGTCTGGCGGTCCTGGCGGTTAGAAGCCTAAGCTTGTTTGGACTTGTTGGAGGTGTTTCCTCCACAGGGCTGGAATCTGCTTCTGGTGGTCTGCTGGCAAATTCTGGCCTTCTTTGGCTTGTGGAAGCATGACCCTGAGCTCTGTCTTCGTTCATGGCATTCTCCCTCCAGGAAGTGGCTCTAATCACAGCATTCCAGGAATGCTGCTTGGTTTGTGAGGGAGCCATGTGCAGTCTGGGCAGCGAAGCTAGAGCCCAGGCTCTTGCCAGTACCACCCCCCTCTCAGTAGAGACGGCTGTACTTCTCGGATGGATGGATAGATGGATGGATGGATGGATGGATGGATGGATGGATAAACAGAAACTCATATGGCCACTTTGAAGAGCTTCAAGGGCTGTAAATGCACATGGGGCTGAGCCTACAGAGTGGAAGGTGGTGGGCCATGTTCTACAGACTTTTTTCTTTGCCCATCGATCTTCCAAGCCCAGACTGCCTGGCTGGTTCTCTGGACCATGGGAAAGGGCTCCTGATTACCTTCCAGTCTCAGTAATACTCAGGTACTCCTGCCCATCAGGACAGTAGGGCAGTGGGCCATAGGCAGAAGCCTGGCAAAGAGCTTTGCTCCCGCCACGTGTGTGACCTCAGGTTAGTCCTCTTCTTCTCTGAGTCTTACTTGCCCACCTTTGGGGATGGGACTCCTCCTCCCCACTGTTCCCTGCAATGGTAAGAGGAGGGCTATGTCCATACTCTCTGGCATGAGAGAGTGGGCGGGCAGCAGGAATGTGTTCATGGCTCCTGTGTAACTCGGTTCAGAGAAGTTCCCAGCAAGAGAGAGAACTGAAACTGCCAGGGCAATGCATCTGGCAAGAGGAAGTCCTGCCCAGGCTGCATCTTCCAAAGGCCAGCAGGAAGTAGAATGAAAGCGGGGGAAGGGGAGGTGCTAGTTTCGCTCTGCTTGTCCCCCCGTGGGTAGGATGACCTCCTCCAGTTGGTGTTGGGACCCTGGGATGAGTACATCAGCAAGCAGATGTGCCCTGTCATGTGCTCCTTGGAGAACTCAGGGACAGAACTACAGCTTCCGGAGCTTTCTACAGGCGGGCCAGGCAAGGACTCTGGTGTCAGAGAGACTTGGGTCGGAGGTTTATGTGACCTCAATATGTTACTCAGCCTCTCTGAACCTGATTTCTGCTCTGGAAAATGAAGGTAATTTGTCGTTGTATGTGGGCTAAATAAGATAAATGCCAAGTGTCAAGATCAATGAGACCTATTTGGCTGAACCCTTACCAGCAGAGTAGAGTGAAGAGGCATCCTGGGGAGAGGGGCTGTCAGAGCAAACTAGCAGCCTGCACAAACTCCAAGTTCTCAGAAGGCTCCAGGTTTTGCTTAAAACAAACAATTTTGGAGTTGAATACATAATTTGCATGAATTTAACATAAATTCCCTTGTTAACAATAATGAGATCAGAAGGATTCTCTAGGAAGAATCTCCAGTTTATTGTTTGGGAATGTCCTAACACAGGAGGAGAAGACTACCCACTTTACAGATGAGGAAGCTGAGACTCATAGTAATTAGTTGACTCGGTCACATGTTTGGAAGGTGTCAAAACC